TCAGGAGGGCAGTCAGGGGACAGGGAGCAGGGGGGTTGGATAAGGGGGTGGGATCCCGGGGGGCAGTTAGGGGCAGGGGTTCCGGGAGGCGGTGGTCAGGGGACGAGGAGCAGAGGGTGGTTGGATAGGGGGTGAGAGTCCTGAGGGGGCTGTCAGGGGGCGGGGGTCCCAGAGGGGGCGGTCAGGGGACAAGGAGCAGGGGCAGTTGGATGGGTTGGGGGTTTAGAGGGGGGCAGACAGGGGGCAGGAAATGGGAGGGGGTGGATAGGGGGTGGGGGCCAGGCTCTTTAGGGAGGCACAGCCTTCCCTCCCCGGCCCTCAATACAGTTGCGCAACCTTGATGTGGCCCTCGGGCCAAAAAGTTTGCCCACCCCTAGGCTACTGCTTGGCTTTCTTGCCTCTTCCTTTTGCTCTGTTCTCAGTTTCTGTTTGTGTTCTCACTCTCTCTCACACTCACTCTCACACATACACACACCCCTTGTCACAATACCCACTGGAACTCCCCACTCACATAGTGCTTTTAGGCAGATTCTGTTAGGCCTTGTTTTAAGTGTTTTACATTATTATTAGATCTAAAAGTTGATTTCAATACCGTAGTTTGTGAAGTGTTGGTGATTTGCTTGTGGAACAAGCTTCATTCTTTTCCCCTGAAGAGATTCCAGAGTAGATCTGGGTAATTGCTTTTCTGCCAGCAGGGTGTTCTTATGTGGGGTTCCACATCATCAGCCATTCTGTTGTACCTTTGGGAGGATGAGTTAAGAGGAACTGGTCAAATTGTTTTCATGTGCTAACGACCCTCAGTGCTCATTTCATCTGATCAACAGGGCTCAAAGGAGCATCCTTCTTAGTACATGGAAGCAGTCTGAATATGGATGAGAGAGTTGACTGAGGCTGAATTCAGTGAAAACTGAGCTTTTGGTAGGTTGGAGGAAGCAACTGGAAGATATGCCAAAGATTGTATCATCTCTTTTTAAATTGTTCTTTCATTAATAGGGTTTCATAACTGGGAGTTGTCAGACTCCCAGCTGCTGTTAGATGACAATATAACAGTAGTGACCAGGACAGTTTTCCTCCACATGTGTTATGAGGTTCTCACAGGAGTAGACCTTGCTACCATCATCCATGACTTTGGCTGATCTTGAAGTGACAATGGCAATATGCTCTACATGCCTTTCATCAGCTTGGAAAATGAAGCTAGTATGGAAGGCAGCAACCTGATTAAGCCATGTGCACATGACCTTAGTGCTCTGAAATCTGCATGTGTTGCTTGTATTTTTTTGCATGGAGTTCAAGTTGTTGGTTTTGACATATGAGCCCTAAGTGGCTTGACCTAGCTACCTAAAATCTCTTCCTTCACCATGCCATACTGCCATAGCTGATCAGTGGAGGGTTCAAAGAGGAATTGGACATATAAGTGGATAACAAGAATATCCAGCATTATAACAATTATGGTAAACAGAGATTTGGAAGGGATAAAAATGCTTCAGATCTTAAACCAATCTCCAACTCTTACGAATTGGGATGAGACATTCATGAGGGTAAAATTACCCCACATCTGCCTTCTGTGGAGTTCTTGCACCTTCTTCGGGGGCATCTAGTGATGGGCACTGTTGCAGACAGAATACTGGACTAGATGGACCACAGGTATGATACAGTATGGCAATTCCTATGTTCCTGTCTTCTGATTCTGTAAAACATTGACATACTACTTATTGAATGCACTATAATTATTATACTGGAACTGTGCATTACTTCTACCATGCACCAACATTAGGAGAAAATTAAAAAAATATTCTACAATAGATGTGTAATCACAGAATCAGTCTGGTACTAGTTGCTGAAACATGGCATGCGCATTATGAGAGGTGCAGCAATTAATGAAAAATTCCAGATCTTAATAATCGCAGAACTTTGAGTGGTGCCCTTTATAATTAAGTGGTAATATCATTGTCCCTTTGTTTTACAAGGCAAAAATGAAATTCCCAAGTGGATGAACTGTGAAGCCAAAGGCTAATAAGTATATCATAATGGGGAAAACAGAGGGCAATGAAGACATTTAATATTGTATTACATGTCTGCAAAAAGACATACATACCAATGTTGTTATATTACGAAGGAGTTGGTCATGACTCCATAGTTAAAGTTGGGTCTGAACTTCCATTCAAAGTCTTATTTTCTATCCCTTAGGCTTGTGACAGGGGTAATTACTGCTTGCAAATTGGGATGCTTGAAGTAGGGTATGAAAAAAAATTTTCTGAGATTTTGGGAAGTACAGGGTTAAAGATGTTCTTAAATTACTTGTTTTAGATTTTTCCCAGTGTCTCAGAGTTTTCAGTTCACATGTTCTCAGCAGTGGTAGGTTTTCAGAACTCCTAATATCAGCGCCCAGATGGCTCTTTACAAATTCAGTACTGGATGTTTATTATACATGGAACAGCATTTTCCAAGATAAAGCTATTTACTAATCTTTGTCCTTAGGGACTGGGTCGATAGGATCTGATCCAAAGCCCCTTAAAATCAATGGGAATCTTTCCTTTGACTTTAATGAGCTTTGGAGCAGACCCAGAGAGTGGAAACGGATAAGGTGCTAGACAAACTACTTTCTCCTGTAAAGTGTCCTGCCAGTTTTCTACTATTCACTGATTCTGGAAGAGTGCAGAAGTCCTCCAGGATCAACAAATGAGAGTATACAGGATGTGAGCAGAAAAGAACTTGGAAAGCGGAAGAGGAGCCTGCAGCGAGAGATTGACATAGAATCATTCCCCAGCTTCTCATGTCATCCTACTACTCCCTGGCCCACTCCTAAGGAATAAAGACTTCCTCTTCTCCTACAGAGAATTAAGAGGTTCTTCAGCTCCCTGACAGCCACCTGATGAGCCATAATAAGTTAGGTCTGACTGCCTCAACAAACTAGCTTTCAAATGGCTAAGGAGCCCAATAAGGTTCATGAGGGTGGAAAGAGAAGGAAGAAGGAAAAGGAGAAGGGGGAGGGATAGCTCAATGGTTTGAGCATTGGCCTGCTAAACCCAGGGTTGTGAGCTCAATCCTTGAGGGGGCCACTTAGGGAATTGGGGTAAAAATCTGTCTGGGGATTGGTCCTGCTTTGAGCAGAGGGTTGGACTAGATGATCTCCTGAGGTCCCTTCCAACCCTGATATTCTAAGTCTTGGGGAATAAAGAATCTGTGCCCTACTTCCCACTGTATGGGCCTGGGATCATAAATGTTTTTAAAAGTAAGGAAGTTTCCACACAAAATCCTGATTATACAGACGCTCCCCGGGTTACACAAACCCGCACTCATGGAAAAAGTTTCGTAAGTGTTGGGTTTTTTTGCGTAATTGTTGGGTTTACGTCCCCGACTTACGCAAAATTTGACTTACGTAAGGCATTCCGGAACGGAACGCTTGCATAAGTTGGGGAGCATCTGTATTGGAGTTTATGGTTGAGAGCATATATCAGTAATTTAAGATTTAAAAAAAATGTAATTATAAAAAAGCACATCAGGGAATTAAGTTTAAATATAAAACGCAAACAATTTGAAGTGAATGCATCTGAAATACCTTATTACACCTGTTGTGATGTCACCCTCCTATATTTTCTTCTTTGTTCCTTTCATACTTAGGGCCTATTTCTGAAAATCCTAGGGGTTTGTAGAATCAAGCTCTTATGCTGAACAATGTTGTTTGTGGATCAATAACTTTTTCTAAAGAAACTAAGTTCCCAAACGATGTCTGTGAATATAAGTTTGGAAAAATGATCAAATCACTGCCATTTGTCCATCTCAGCATCATCTTTTTTCCATTATGACTTTAAGAAGCCTGTAGTATGAGGAAGCAGATATTAAATCTGGGTGCGTGCACTATTCTTGTACATCTTGAACCAGACTTATAAACATGATTCCAGTTGTAAGTGTATACTTTGACACCACACTAACCTTTGCTCTTTTTATGTAAAGTGCTAAAACTTCATTAGCCAGTAAATTTGTGTATATAGATACAGATTTACTGATAAGTAGTGCACAAGAAATCTAAATGAAGAATGTAGAATGATGGCTTTCAATGTGCAATCTGTTTAATTACAATTTTATAAAGTATATTTTTATCTGTGCCTAGTGTATGGCTCTGCAGACTGAACTTTGCACAACTTTTCACTTAGGAGTAAAACGTTCAGGTGCTTGATCTCTGAGATGAAGCTGTTTGTTATGGATGGATAAAGTTGTCTAGGAATTATTTTTTGAGGGCACCACAGCAGCAGTAAAGCTAAGGGGTTTGGGGCTTGTTAACTGTGCATCCCTGCACTTTCAAACGTTTGGATTCCTTTTAAGTGCAATTTTAACTATGGCTTTCTTTATTTTCTGATACTTTTTATTATTATATTTTTGTAAGGTTTTCCATCCTTTAAATTACTGTTATGCTCTCTTAACTTTAACTCCAGCTTAATTTTGTATCTGAAAATAAATATTATAAATACGTGTTTATCTAATACAACATTCATAGAAAGTTAACAAATATTTTGTGTTTGGAGCATGAGCACATTGAGGCTGGTGGTAAATTTCAGAAAGTGGTACACAAGTCATTTTATTGTGTCCACATTGGGAGTTAGTGATATATCATTAGGACTTTTGCTCCTAAATCACTTATGCATTTCTGAAAATCCCACTCTAAAGGTTTATCTACATGGAAATTTTTTCCAGGTATACTGGTATAATTTTATATAGTAATTATATCAGTAAAGTTAAATTACTCCCCCATGTGGACACTGTTATTCCAGAATTTGAGTGGTTTTTTGACTTAGGCCATGTCTACATTAGCGAGCTTACAGTGGCACAGTTGTACCAACACAGCTGTGCTGCTGTAAGATCACTCATGTAGATGCTCTATGCTGATGGGAGAGAGCTCTCCCATTGACATAATAAAATCATCTCAATGAGCGGTGGTAACTATGGTGGTGGGAGAAGCTCTCCCACCACCATAGTGCTGTGCACACTATCACTTATGACAGCAAAATTTATGTTGCTTAGGGGTGGGTTTTTTTTCACAGCCCTGAGCCACATAAGTGGTAGTGTAGACATGGCCTTAGTTTAAATTGCTTCCAAAGTGGCATAAGATAAACTAGAAAAATACACCCCTATACCAGAATAAAAGTATCCATATGGGGAGTTATACCAATCTAACTATAATGCTTTAAATTCACACCACTGAATGAGGCTGTGGGCCTGTGGAAAAAATAGTATGCAATCAATTAATTAAAAATTATATCTTAATGTATATGCATGACGGCCATGGTATTTCCTAATTTTGAGCCCTCAATTTTGCAACCTTAATGTTTTTAATGCAGTATTTTAAATATAATTTCCTAACTTTCTAAAAAAGTAAACTGAATAAAAATTCCATCATGTGGAATCATAATGATTCCCACATGGCTTATCAGCAGGATTAGAACTGCCTGCTCCACAGCACAGACCTCTGCCACTTGAGCTAATATAGCAGGGATTGGCAACTTTGGCACGCGGCCCCTCAGGGTAAGCCCTTGGCGGGCCAGGCCAGTTTGTTTACCTACAGCGTCTGCAGGTTCGGCCGATCGCAGCTCCCACTGGCCGCGGTTCGCTGCTCTAGGCCAATGGGGGCTGCAGAAGGGGTGGCCGGCACATCCTTCGGCCCGCGCTGTTTCCTGCAGCCCCCATTGGCCTGGAGCAGCAAACCGCAGCTAGTGGGAGTTGCGATCGGCCAAACCTGCAGACGCTGCAGGTAAACAAACGGGCCTGGCCCGCTAGGGGCTTACCCTGACGGGCTGCATGCCAAAGGTTGCTGATCCCTAATATAGTAACTAGTAGCCGTAGTAGACTGCCATCCTTTACATGGGTCAGCCACTAGAGGAAGATAAGAAACATTTTGACAGTGGGATTCACAGCTAATTGAAAATGAGGGCCAGGGATAATGAGACACTGGAATCCTGGTTCTGAGGTGGCAAGTATCTTAGTGGTTACAGACTCTTCTCCTTTGTCTGCCTCCAAACCTAACTTTTTTGTCCCTGGCCCCGCCAATCTGTTCTCATCCTTGTTACCTCCCTCAAACTTTCACCTTTCCCCTGTTTCCTTTTCACACTTTTATTCCAGTCTTCCTCTTCACCACTTTCTTGCCAGGCAGGCTTCTCTGGGGGAAACATGGAAAGCACAGGAGTGTTTCCCTGCTGTCAGTTTTCTGTGTGTGGCCTGATTGATGGGAGGAGCAATTGTAAGAGATGTATCCTGTTCCCTTCTTGCAGCCCTGGGATGGAGTGGGCTCAGTTGCTCTGTGGGGACAGCAAACAGCAGTTCGGTCAAATACCAGAGCTGAGAAAGGATGGAGCTTACTCAGTGCTGGTGTAAGCTGTGGAGAATTTAGCTGCCAAACTCTAACAAGTCTTTATTGAGCATGTGCAAACAGAGGCTCCTAACTTGTGCAAATATTGGTAAATTTTTGCAAGGATGACAAAAAGTGACACTAGTGTTCCCCCCACACACACTCGGCTGCAGAATCCGGAGGTGCTAGAGCTTCTCAATAAAAGTGTTGTAAGATTTTTTAAAAACATGGACAAAACAACATAGTTTTCCTTAGTCGTGTTCTGAGAAATGGTTGAACCATTTTTGCTGAAACTTAAAAATTCAGTCTTCAGCAAACACGCAGCATGAGGAGTTTCAACCAAGACAGTTAACATCTAGCAATGTCATAAGGGACTAAAATGGAGTATTATACAGGAAAGTGTTGGGCAAACTTAATGATAGGCTTTTGGTACCTGTATTATCTACAATAATATCCTTTGGGGGTCTAGCAGAAAATTACAGCACCATGGCACTGGAGTAGGGTTACCACCTTTGAAATGCAAAAAGCGGCAATCCCCCCCACAAAGACAAGTCCACCACAACCCCAACCTCCAACCACGAGGCAACTCTGACACTTTCCCCCTCCCAACAGCCACTGATAATATGAGAGAGAACACATATAGATAAGAAAATGATGTTATCAATCTTACTTAAACTCTGGAAGTGGGAACACTGCAGCAACTTTAGCTGGATGTATAAACTTTTCAGATTAGAGATCACAGTGTCAGGGGCGGCTCCAGGCACCAGTGCAGCAAGCGCGTGTCGGGGGCGGCAAGCCGTGGGGGGCGGCCTGCCGGTTGCTGTGGGTGGCGGGTACGCCGAAGATGCGGGACCGATGGATCTCCCGCAGGCGTGCCGTCAAAGGCTGCCTCACTGCCGTGCTTGGGGCGGCAAAATACATAGAGCTGCCCCTGCACAGTGTATTGTGATAATAATGCAAAATTTTAGACCCATGTAAAAAAACTCCAGCAAATTATTTTTCTGGCAACTGGCAAATCCATACCAGCCAAGTGGTAACCATACATTGGAATATTATAGAGGAAAGTATTGGGCAAACTTAACGTTAACCAAACTTTGGTACCTGTATCACCTACAGTAATAACGTGGGTGGGGGTGGGGGGGGTGGGAGAGAAGAGGGGGTTTAGCATAAAAATATAGCACCATGGTATTTATCTAAGAAAGAGGAAAAGTAGAGTGGGTACAAATGGAATAGTTTGATGTTTCCAATCTGCATTAAAAATAAAGTTGCTTTTTTAAAAAGAGGGGGACAATTCTGTGTGCTGGGTCTAGAACTGAACTGGCTGTGTGCTCACCACTACAGTACATGCCACATTTTCACAAAGCTGCTACATTTGCTTTTCCACCTCCAGCAAAGGGTGCCTGCATTTTGAGAAACTCGCCTTTCCATGTTGTGAACCCCATGGAGTTTGGCTCTTTGCTCGCTGAAGACACTCTTTCCAACACACACACCCCCCGCCCCGGCGCGCTTTGTTTTTGTGTGGTGGGGAGATAGGAGCGACGGCTGCTCCCTCCTTGTGGCGAACACTGGGGCCGTACAAACCGGCGCAGAGCCGCTCTCTCAAGTCTCAGCGACGGGGGAAGACGATTCCTTGGAGGAGGAGGACGGCGGGCAAAGGGCCACATACACAGCTCGGCGACTGAGGGGCTTCTTCTTGGGCTGCGTAGGTTTCAATGGGCCATTTCCCCCGCCTCACCTAGGCGCGCTGGGCAACCCCCCGTTCGCGCTGTCCCTTCCAGAGCAGGGCCACAAGCAGCCCGGGGTGTTTCATGGAAAGCATCGGCGCGGGGAGGAAGTTTCCTACTCGCTGGCAGCCTCGGCGAGTAGCAGCGCCGCTACCGCGCCGGGGGAAGGAGGGAGGGCCAGACTGCGCCTGGCGGCAGCGCTCCCCGCCCCTCCTCCTCTCCGGCTAGAGGGGGGGAGGCGGAGGGGGAGTTGTGGGAGGGTCTCTCTCCATTGAAATAAACAAGCAGCCAGTTATTAAAACGGGAACATGGCGGCCGCAGCCACAGCTTTATCTTGCAAAGCGAAGGTCAGCGTCCGCGGCAGCCCCGGCAGCCGGAGACATGACTGACCCCGGTAAACACTCCCGCATGCCGCCCCCTCGGCCGGGCTGTGGCTGAGCGCTGCTGCCTCCCAGCCGGGTTGTGTAAGCTCGGGGACCCGCCGTGGCTCGGGCAATGGTGGCGGGGGAGGCACAGAAAGGCAGCTGATGGCAGGGGGAGGGGGCGGCTGCTCCCCCTCCGCAGCGAAGGGAGAGGAGTTTGGGGGGCTGCGGGTGTCGCAGCGGGGTTAGCTCTGCTTCCAGCCAGCGGGGTGCAGTGAGAACTGGTGGTCAAGCAGGGGGGCGGGTTGCACCCTCAGTAGAAATGGGGCGATTACTCCCCCTCTGCTGAAGATGCGGGGTGCACTGGGGGCAGCCCCCCCTTGAGGGGAGGGGGCATGTCCCCTTTCCTGGCTGAGGGGGGGGGCTGCTGTTTGCCGGGCGGCAAAGGGGGTCTAGGACGAGTCTGTTCGACCCCCCCAGACACGGGGGTGCCTTGGGGCAGTGCGGGGGACAGAGGACCGTTCCCTTCCGCCGGCTGGGGTCGGGGTGTATGTGAGCTGCAGGGAAACTGTCGTTGTCTCCCCCTCCGGAGGGTAACGGGGCTGGGGGCTTCCCCCCCAGTTCCCAGCGCTCCGCGCCCGGCCACGGGCAACTTCACTTCTCTTTAACTTTCTGTGTGGGGGCGTGGGCGCGTGAAGCCGGGCAGCCCCTCCCCGCCGCCGGGCCCCTGCCCTGCGGCCGCCTACGCCCCGGGACTCCCGGCCGCCGCAATGCTGTGTGCGGCGCCGCCCGCGGGGAGGGGATCGCGGGGCCGGGGCTCGGCTGGTGCCGCTCGCGGGGCGGGGCGCTCGCCGAGGGTGGGGATGGGGGGAGGAGGCGGTGACGGCGTCAGTTGCTTCGGCTTGCCACAGCCGCGGGCAGCGCTGCCGTGGCGGGGCGGGGTGTCCCGCAGCGTGCGGGCCGAGCGGTGGGGGAGGGTGACACTAGAGCCGCCTCCTCCCACCGCTTGCCGGGACCCCGGGTGCGCGCGCGGGGGGCTGGTGTCAGGTTACAAACTGCCACCCCTCTAGATTTGCTGCGTTGCTGGTACTGAGCATGCGCATACCAAGTGAGCACGCGCAGTAACAGCTTGTGAAGCCGCTGGCTCGACACTGCCCCTTCTGCGAGGGGCGGAGTCTATGCAGGGGGCCCAATGGAATGCACGGGCCGGTCAGACAGCTGGAGGCAGGGGAGGGGCTGAGGGGGGAAGAGCAGGGATGTGGAGTAGGGACTGGGGTTCAGGCGGTGGTAGTGGGGAAATCGGGGGGAAAGTTACAGTTACCACGTGCAGTGGCTGCAAAAAAAAAGAGTGTTGCGGGGGCAGCATTTTCCCCTCGAGGAGGGGACATCTTAGCTCTGGCTGCCCAGGGCTGTGCTCCTAAAGTCACATTGTGTCCAATGCTCCCACAGGGCAGCACTTCCCTATATGATATGCTGTATTGAGCTGCTAAACGAGACTTGATTCAGTGAAATATTTAACATTGACCTATCTCCACCCACTTACAAATTATAGTTGTCATAGATGTTCTTAGTGTTTAAAGGAATAATTTATTAGTTTATATGGCTGAATAAAACCTCATATAAATTCACAGGCTTGTTTTATCTGCTGTTCTGATTGCCTGAATGGGACTGTTTTTTTCCTTGCAATACACTGTAACTAGAGTTTCACTCCTTTAAGTTGTTTAAAATGTTTTTCTTTTTCTTTCCTCATTTATGTTATTTAACATAGTGGAGATAGATGGTATTGTGTTATTTAATGTTTTTAATAACTAATCATTTAAAGTATTAATAGTTGCTAGTAGCTTCAGCAATCGTATCTCAGTGTTTCTACTATAGCACTTCCTCTTTGTATTATGACAGCTCTTAATTCTAATTTTTTGGGGGGTTTTTAGTACACAAGTTTATTCTTTGGGTCATATGACATCAGTGCTGACTGATTTCCTGTGTTGATGTCAAAACTTCTTCAGTTTCCTTTAATCTAACAATGGGGATTGCTTTTA